TCTGCAGACGAGGCGGTATATACCAGCGCATACGGAGCGAGTAGAAGCCTCTTTCAATTTATTTCTACGAACTTTTAGTGTTACAGAAGTAATAATATTTTTTTTACAGTTATCATATAAGGTATGTGGGTGTGGGTATGAAATTGCAAAAACTGTGTTTAAAAGATGTTTATTGCTGCTACGATTGTATGTATTAACTTCCCGAGTTATCATCAGTGCTATTTGAGTTCATTTCTTGTCTACAATTTAACAGTTTTTAGTTTAGTGGTTAGTTAACACACTGCAGTGAGTTCCATTAAACATAAAATAAAACTGCATGGTAGAGTACCGAATCCTTAAATATGCCTGCTCTCAACTAAGAATAATCAATAAATTACGAAGAAGTACATCGCGGCATCTGTTGGATCTAAAATACTATTTTGCCAGAAATTCTAATAGTTTTGGAAATTCAAACACAATTTTGTCTGATTTTGATCGGTCAGTTTGCGTGGCAGCTATATGCTATAGTACTCAATTAGCTCATTCTTTTTATTGTCTCCAATATAGCCTATATAATAATTTCCGACTTTACGCCTGACAAAATGTGTGATACTTTATTGAAATTTAATGAAAAAGTTTTCTTAAAAGTTGTATGAATGAAATTGGTCTAGACATTGATCCATACCTTATATCCCTAAAATATGCATTGCGATCCTCTGGTTGATGTTTTCACATCTACTCATTATATAAAATTTAGCTTTTTCAGTTCAGTTTATATATACAAGTATATCTCATTTGAAGATGATGACGAGAAGTAAAATATAGTAATATAACTAAGTGAGTCTATGACCTATAATATAACTTAATAAAATACCAAATTTGATTGTAACACTATTACAATTTCATCGAATAATGAAAGTTAAATTTTTTTGCAACATGTTTTAATACAAAGTTTTCCAAACGCCTGAAGGTATTTTCCCTGCTTTGATCCTTGCAAGTTGCAAGAGTATAAAATGTTCGGTTACATCCGAACTAAGCGCTTCCTTACTTTTTTGCATTTAGAGTTGTCGTAATGAATCCATTTTTCATCACCAGTCACAAGCAGATGCACAAGCCACTCCTTTTTGTAGCGTTCAAATAGCAATTTTAACATGCCAAATAATCTTTCAAAATCTCTTGGCTTCAATGTATATAGTAACCTATTTCCTAGCTTTATATTCGGCTGCTTTTAAGCGTTTTGAAATGGGTGCTTGAGTGACTCCCAAAGATTATACGAGCCCATCTCTTCATCGAGTAATGCTTCCGGTTGCTTATCTTTAAACTGTCGTCATTTTTCATTAACAAAGTCAGAACGGAAAATATGAAGGATTTGAGTACAAGTTTATGGATAATTTTATGCCATTGATTATTTCTCTTAGTTTTGCTCTTTGATATAATGATTAGTTTCCGAAATAATACAAATCTTTTTCAAACTTAATTTTTTTGCAAAATGTCGCTCAATTTATATTTGTTGCATGACCAGAATCACCCAACATCTTCGAATCACTTGCTGTTTGACATAAAATGAAAAGTAAATACCTTTACCAAGGCAACTAACTACACTGCTAATACGAATTATCCGCTATATCCGGCGTGGCGTCCACTTAGTCGCCATACACCAGCTGAGCTTAGCATTAAAGCCGATCAGCGTGTCTGCGATGGGCCTGGCATTGTGGTGTTTTCTTTGCTGCTGCTCACAATCAAGTTGGACACTTCAGCTGCACAATCATTTGCCAACGGAGAACGTAGTGCCACAATGCGTGGCGTGTTTGCTTTACGAGTGAAGCGCTTCAAAAAAAAAACACATCGAAAACAAAAACAAAAAAGCATGAAATGAAACGTAACGAAAAAAGGAATATTTTTAATATGGCAGCACTGTGCTGCTTACAAACAGCGTGTGTAAGCAAAATGGGAAAAAGGTTACACAAAAGTGCGAAAAAATCTGAAGCAGCTTGCCTGCTTCACACTTTCTGCTGCGGTACTTATGCTACCGCTCACCCCACGCCACATCACTCGGAAAGTCGATTTTATTTCCGTTTATCGTTACCGTTACGTGTTCTTTTACTTTTGTCATTTTGTATGCTAGAATTTTGCCCTTTTTTTGAGCGTGTATCTTTTGTGATTTTTTTTTTTGCTGTCACTCTCAACTATTGCTCCTTATGCTTTTGTTCCATTTTACTTACCACAATCATACTTTTTTCCACGTTTTGTTTCGCCTGCTCTGCGTACGTACATATGGCTATGGCGGCGAGCGAGTGTCGTTACACTTTTATGCGGAAAGGAAATTGACTTCATTTTTGTAAGTATCTTTCGGAGGGATAATTGCGCTGCACTCAAATGTGTTTTTTCTTCGCGCCATTGTAGTCGTACCTTTTTCCACTTTTTATTATTTTCATTTCTTCTGGCGTTCTGTAGTTGCTTTTTTTTTGTTTTTTTGCCAATTACAAACTAAGTCGAACCTGAGTCTAAGCAGGTCAGCAGCACAGCGGGATTTATCAGCATTGAAATGGTCCATGTCATTTCAAGGATTGCACGTTGGCTTCGTAGTCCTGACGAGGCCAATGTGTTCGCAATCTACAAGCATGCCAAATGACTTAGACCAAGCCGGTGGGTGGTAGGCCGAAATATATGATTGTTTGTAGTTACTTTTTTGTTGCGTTTTTTGTAGTTTCTGCCATAAAATTGTGCACTCATTTTATGACTAAGTAGTAGATTTTTCGATCATATCGCACTTCGTTTGGAGACATTCGGCTGCTTCTACTTACCACAGTTTGTTGTATTGTACTTCTTATTGTTCTGTGTTTTTTTGGCCATATGTCAATCGTGCTGCCATTTGACTGCGTAGAATTTAGGCGCTGCACACACACACACAGCCACGCGTGCTGAATAGGCTGCCCAACAATGTTGATTGTTGAACTCTGTGCCGTATCATGATTTCCCATCAAATTGCTGGCACTTAATTTAATGAATTGTTGCTGTTCGCCTGCTCTAACCGCAAATCTACACACCACCGTGGCAGCAGCCGCTTTGTAAAATACAAGCAATACTACATTGTACATTACAACAAATTCTGTGTTCAGTTTGTACACACTGTATGTGTATGTTTACTTTGAGTTGTGCAAATTTGTTTGCGACACAATTCATGTTGATTACGTGCATAGCACAAAACAACAGCAACTATCGGTGGTAAATATGCACACACTAGATCGTATTTTGTTCATACATCCCCGTAAAGGGTGGTTCACATATTCTGTCTGTATATACAGAAGCTAGTCCCCCAGCTTTTGAGATATCGATCTGAAAATTTGCACCTGACCTTTTCTCCCGAAGGAACTGCTCATTTGTCGAAATCGCCGTTATCGCACCACTGTAGCATATACATATGTTTGTATTGACCATACAAAGTGAACGATCAAAATAATAATCTTTGTATGAAAAAGGTTTTTTTTAAATATATTCACGAAATTCGACTTAAATTGTTATCCAGCACAATCCTAAAATCTTCGAATATCTGATTCAAGATGATGAGCTTCATAAAGGGTTATTTTTTTTGTATTATTTAAACTTCATTCGACATGAAGGAAGCTTTTCACGAACTTCATTTCTTTGGGGTCTATTCTGCAAAAGGTGGGAGTTTAAACTGTTACAATATCCAGAACGAAGCTGCTGTAGGAATCTTTATAAACTTAATAGGGGTCGCTTTGGTGACTGATAAAACAATTACTTTACCATGAGACTTAGTAAATTGACTTTAGCAGGACTATGCTGCGATCAAACTGAAACATTTTCATGCTTCAAAGCAACCTACGTGAACAGAAATAGTATTTCAAACGATACTGAGAAGTCACCCCGTTACATCGATTTCTTTGCATGCTCTTCGAAGAAGTGAGACATTTTCATTCCTAGAGAAGATAATTCGTTAATACTTTGAGCCTAATATTCATTTCAAAAATCCATTTCAAATATTTTCCAAAATTGCTCAAGTCTCAAGCGATTTATTGTGATTGGAGATAATTCTTTGCCTAAAAACCTTATGGATCACCCTCTATATATAATACAACATACATGCATATATGTTTACATACATCTAAATAACTGCTTACACCGGTGTTTGTGTAGTTTATGTAATTGTACAAACAAATGTAATTTGTCATTATTATTGTTGTTGCTGCTGCGCCATCAAACAGCTACTTAAGATTCTCCCAGCTGTTGATGCTAGTAGAATTAGCTATAAAATGTGCAAAAGTATCGTTAAATGCGTATACGAACTAACAATGACAATGACAGCTGTCCACAAGAACGTCGATTAATGTAACGAAAATGACATAATTAAGATGTTTATGCTGTTTTTGCTGAGCTAATTGTGTGTGTTGATTTCCAATGCGCTAAGTGACACAATTTCGAACTGAAGAGGCATTCAAATCAAATTTTTCTTCATATTGCTTTAACATAATGCGTTTCTCACTTTTTCTTTGTGAAAAGTAATTGTTTTCGGCGGCCTTATATCACAAATACTCCGTAATGAGGTGGAAGCATCGAGCCACTTTATTCTCCACTGTCTAGCGTTTGTCAGACTAAGACTGAAGCAGCTGGGTTGTCATACCTTCCACAAACTCGATGAATTAGCTCGAATTAGCCGCCTTCATAAATTTGTGGCAGCCTCAAGGCGCTTTTTCGATATGCGACGGTCTTTTGATCCATACTAGGGGCTCTGGCAATCACAACGTACAGGCGTGTTTAGCAGTCCAAGTGAGTTTATTCGTGACCTTCTGTATACAGCCTGTCTACTTAACCTAACCCACTAACACAAAATTTGCTAGACAACAAATAATGCCAATATATTAACAATTTTATTAATTTTACTGCTCTTACTTGGAAATAGAAGCTATATATCTTAAGTATGCTAATAAGTCGACTTTGATTCGTCATTTTTTTGGTCGCCACCTGTTTGTAAGAAAATGTGAAATTGAAACCAAAACATCGCGAAAGTCGTAAAATCTTTTTACTTTTTAACTTTATTTGGTAATGCCAGAAAATTAAATTTACGCTACGTGCTTGTTCGATTCGACACTATCCATGCTTCAAGTAATTGACAACAGCCATGCAACAATTTAAATAAACTTAAAAAAAGTTGCTCTTAACAGTATTGTCAAACGGTTAATTGCACAGAAAATACTTTAATTAAACTCTATTTACAAGTGCCACTCAAATTAAGCGCAACATTTTTATTTGTACTTAACATTTTCATTCCCCTCCATTGCTGTGTCATTCGAGCTATCAATTGCAAAGCAATATTGTGGAAAAAATATAATATAATGCACATTTTATCAGATATCTTGTGTTTGCATCGGTTGTTTAAGCCCACACATTGCTATGCTGCCAATTATAGCTGTCCAGCCGCCAATCTGTCTGCTGCGACGCGAGCGGCGTGTGTCGAGCGGCGGCTGGTTGGCTCCACTCAATATAACAGCAATTAATATGCAGTCATTTTTATAGCAATTGTCATTATGTTAACTGACAAATAAGTGTCTACTTGGCAAACTAGTATCTTTGGGGGTTAAGGGACTCGAGTTAGTGAATATTAGATTATATAATAGTAAAGTAGAAAGTTCGTAGTTTACAATTTACATTTATACAATTTTACACGTATGTATATGAACTCAAATCTAGTTCGTAGTCTATCACACGTTCAGTTCGCGTCAATTGACTCAAAATCTAGCCAAACTCCACCTTCCAAGCTTCCAAAGAAGCTATCTTTAGTTAAGATATTGTCCGAGCGATTTTTAGGATTGGGTTTGATGACAAAATTCCTCACGATTTCGGCAATTGCTGCTTTGCTTTGAGTAAGCGCAAATCTCATGCCTGTACAAATGAGAAAAAGAGTTATTACTTATTATTTAAAAATATTTTAGGCACACGGTTCAAGAGATCAGAAACTTATTAGCAGCAGAGTAAAGTGCTAAAAGTAATTTTATTCTTTTTTTTTAGAGGGTCCAAATTTGGAGGGTCACACGTCCGTCGATTTTAGACCTGGCTTTGACTTAAATTTTTCACTTATCTTTACCTGTGTAGAATATACTAGTCGGTCTTCAGTCTTTTTTTTCTATATGTTCTTTCCAGCAATTAAAAATATCCGATAGTTGACGGATGCTAAATAAGATTATGGTAGTACATCTGAGGTCCAAGAGATTTGAGAGAGAATTAAGAATGACATTTTTGGCGAAATGTGGCAACCAAAGTTTTCCAATAAAAAATAATAACCAATGTAAGAGAGAAACTTCCTAAAGAACTAGTTCGGTTATATTTCGTGTAAATATTTTAATACTATCAGTCAGCGGAGCTGAGCGCATTACCACTACTACTAGCAGAAAATACGATTATAGACAATTTTTTTAGGGATGGCAAAGTAAGGAGGTTTGTGTTTTAGATTTAGACGAAAATTGAACATAATCGGTATTCTTTAGTGTTAAATCTAAGACTTGTCGCACCCTACACTTGTCATATAATGTCAATGTATATAAATTTCTCTCCAAGTATTACCACTTACCTAAGCAAACACGTGGTCCATCACCGAATGCTAAAAATACTCCTCTATCGCGATAACTTTTTAAGCCACCATTTTCCGGAAGAAACCGCTCTGGTTTAAATAATTCCGGTTCTTCGTAGATGCTTTCATCGTGATGCAAGGAATATGCGGGTATCAAAATGACGTCATTCTTTTCCACTTTCAAAATACTGCCATTTTTATTAACCAGCTCACAAGAATTTGTGCACAGTTTTTTATTAAAGAGTATCGGCGAAAAAATTCTTAAAGCCTCTAGAAAGGAAAATAATGATTTATGTAATATTATTTATTTAATATACTATATACTATTTTATATACAAACCGTGTAAGCAGGCATCTAAGTATGGCATGTCCGAGAGCACTTCGAAGCTCAAGTTACCATGCTCGTCCAGATTCTCTGCAATCTCTTGGCGTAATTGACTCTGCTTGTCTTCGTAGCGTGCGAGCTGCAATAGCATAATCGAGAATTATTTTCGCATCATTGGAAAATCACATACTACATATGCCTATATAACTGTACATTTCTTACCAACAACAAACAATGTGTAATCGCTGTAGTTGTCGTTAAAAAGCCATCGGTTATGTAGGTCATCACATGCGACGTTAGCTCCGGCGTCGATAGATTACGTTTCTGCTGCAATTGCAACATATAATTAATAAAATCAGCTCTATCCATATTTTGCTTATGCCTCAAATCGATTGTTTTTTGCGTTAAATCGATGAAGAAATTTTCAACGTCTTTGGTAAAGAAACGCATTTTGTAAAAGTGCTGCACCGCAGGAAAGAATCCGGTAAGCAGTTGGTATAAACGAAAAATGTAAGTTTGGTTGAACAGTTTTTTCGTATTGGCATAAATTGGCGATAACTCGTCGCTGAAACTATTTGCACGAATGCCCAAGATACATTCGCTGACCACCTCGGATGTGTAGCGCAAGAAAAGCTGCAAAACATACCGTTATTCACGTTGAATTTTTTTTATTGAATAGTTTCTATCGCGAGATTACCTCTGTAGCATCTAAACCTTCAGTTGGCTTAGTCTTGGTTTGCTCTCTGATATAGCGTATTAGGCGTTGGCACACATCCAAGGTAATCGGATAGACGACTTTTATCTAAAAGGGTTAAATTAAAATCTTGAATATAATAATTCACATGGCAAAGGTTTATTTGAATTTGAAATAGGGTATTATAGCTTAATCTTAAATCATCTGTGAAAATGTCTCAGGGAATCAACATCAATAAAAATAACTTACTCGATTTGGTGTCATGGCGGGTATGATTTCTACTCGGCGCTCTTTCCATTCATATCCAGTTAATACAAACGGGTTATTAGCGAAAATAAAGTCACTCTTTTCGTCGACCTATATAAAGGGAATAAAACTAGAGTTTATACGAAAGTGGAACAACAAATATATCATAAAATACAAACTTTTTGCGAAATCTCGTTGTCATGAAAATTCTGGAAATCTGAAACAAAAATTTTCTGCACCAAAGCAGGATTCAGCACAAGCAATTTTGGAGTGCGCATCATTAAAACACCAACAAAATTTTCATCTTGTTTATAAGCTCTAATGAAATAAAAAACTTTCCATACATAATATATATTTCTATATATAAATTTATTCAATTAATGGCCAACTCACCTGTAAATATCATCGAAATCATAAGCTATATTCCGTTGATGCGAAAATGTGCTGGGAAATGAGCCCACTAATGTATACGATTTCGCTTGTTTTATGCCACGCTTTTCCCAGTAATTTAAGTTCCATGTTAGAAAACTGTATATGAGTCCACCTATAATACCTGCTAGTGTCAAGGTTATCAACCAAGTCTCAAGCATCGTTTTCGAGTGCAGACAGCGCAAAAATATTACACAAATGTTCAACAATTAATCTACAATTATGTGGATGCATCCAATTAATATGCACACCAAGAGATGCGGAAGTGTTTTCGTCTAACGAGTCGAAGCACTCACTTAAAGGGCGCTTTATGCACTGAATTGCGTTGTAATCGGTATTGCACTCAGTATGATTTAAAGTTCACATTTCTAAATTGCTGCTGCCTCTTAGGGCATATGCATTAGGGTAAGCCTCCATCTGAACGAAATAACTAATTTTAAAAACTTAAGAGTAAATTAAATGTTGAAAGTTTGTTGTACATATGTATTGATACAGTTTTCAGTGACTAATTTGTGGTGTGAATAATATATATTAGAGGAATTCATATCTGAATACCAAAATTGTCTAACTGTAAGTGGTGCTTAATATTTATACCTTCAAAAAGAAATGCCTCTAAACTGAAAACTCCAACTATATGGTGATTTCATCTCACGTCATTTTTCGCGTATTTTTGCTATTTCAATATCAAGATATAAAAATAATTTGTGCAATTACCTAAGCCTTAAATGGCCAAAAGTGCTCAGCTATCCCTCTGAAAAATTCGGTATTTGAAAAGGTTTTTTATTTTATTATTTTAGAGCAATGCATCAGGAATCTAAAAAAAATCGTATTGTATATTCTATTACCGATTCGCTAAGTTTTAGAGAGTCTCGAATCGAACACATTCTACCAGCTGCTTAAAAGGAGTGACTGCACTGAGAAAGAAGTGTCGAAAATAACATATACCTACTTGGTCGTACTGAATGAGTTGAGATGGATTTTTTTGATGGAGGAAACAAATAGTAATTTAATAACTCCTTGGTTTGGAACATTGTCTATGCCTTATAATTTACCCTAAAAACTACATAATTTTTATTTCAAGCTTTTCCTGTTTTGAATTCAACTGGATAGCTTTGTTGCTGCTTGAACGTGTAAATTTTGTGAGAAGAAAGCAAAGACACTTAGCGAGCAGAGAAATATTCGAATCGATGACGACTAAAGTGCTACTATCTGACCAAATTTGAACCAAACTGACGAAGAAACATGCATTTTCAAATACTTTTTCACACAATTTATTTACTGCCTTCTAAATATGCTCCTTTTAAACCAATACTAAAAGCTTCGACTGGTATGGACTTCAGTGATTTCAGCGAATGATCTTTTAATGGCTTCTGTGGACTCATAGCGCGTTGCCCGAAGCAGATTTTTCAGTTTTTAAAGCAGAAAAAATGTACAGGGAGCCAATTCTGGCTCGGAATATGGTAGCTAAACGATGAATCACGTTATGTGTTTGACCGAAGTCAGTCACAATCATGCTAGAATGTGACATTGCATTATCGCTGTGAATAATTCATAAATTTTTTTGGTCACAAATCCCTATGACTCCGCTTATGACGATTTAATTGATGTAGACACCACAAAAGGGCCAAGTAATGTTTGATTATTATTATTAGTTTGAACCTATGGAATGAATTCATGGTGAACCACACCATGATAATCGAAGAAAACGAAAGCATCACCTTGCTTTTTGACGACTTTAATATGGTATTTTCGATTTCGGTTAATTTTTGGAGCGCAATGCGCAACATTGTTGTATAGGTTCGATCTTACGTTTTCAATAATGAGTGAAACATTATAAAGAATGAAAAATGTCATTAGCAAATGTTTCGGACGCAACAACCATTAAAGTTAACGGTTTCTGTACGATAACTCCTAATGTAACTTAAGAGAATTGCTAAATTTACATATGTATCTATCAAAATAATTGAAATAACATTGTATGCCTTATAAAAGCTTCTTCTTATCATACTCAGATATGAGAGAATACAATTTAAATGAAAAATAATTCCATACGCGACTTCACCTGTCTCTCATTCTTGCGATTTTATTTAGTCGCCCTAATAATTCGTATGCACATCACGAACTCGGCCGAGTCAACTCAATTGTTTATTTGTGTTATTTATTGTTCTCATAGAAAGTGCTCGTTCACTTATCAATATTAATTCCAGTTCTATAGTATTCAAATGCACTATTTCATATTTCTAAGTCTATCTTAGCTACTCGAGTTTGTTGCGAATATTCGTTTGGCGAATAAGTTTTCACTGATGTTGAGATTTAAAATTTAATAAATAAAACAAACAATACACAAACAAATACTTGTATCGCAGGCTGAAATTGTTGAGTTATGCGGTTTCAACACTGATTTATGTAATGTTTTTGTTGTTGCTATGTGTGGCTGTTTGGGTTTGTCGCATTCATTGCTGTTTTTTGTTGCATATTCTTTAACTGTCAGAACTTGTATGTTTTATTCACATGCTTGCTGTGTTATTTATACCTTTGTGTGTATTTTTTGTTTGTTTGTTTCATATTTTTGCATTTTTTGATTTCTGCTGTCGTAACTCTGAATTGTCCTCACTTAGCGCAATTCACTCAAGTCTGAGTGTACGGCGCATGAGTGTGAGTGCAAGTGCGCACACTTGAAAACGGCGTCGGCTTCTGAATCGCACTGGCGCCGTGTCGTTACGTAAGCACAGTGGGCAAGTGTTGATAAAAAATTGGTTTGAAAAATTTTTCAGAGCTTTTAAATTTTTTTTTGAGGAATTTTGAATATAAATGAAATATTATAATATAATAATATATATATATATTTTTTTTTTCTAAGCATAAATAAATTTTTCTGCCTGAAAAAGTATTTTGTAATTCATAAAATATTTTGGTTTAGATAAGTTGTTCTTTTAATCAAAAATTTTAACATATTTTTTTTTATAATAACCCACGGATTATTCTCCTCACGCCCAACCGACGCGAGGGGTGCAATCCGCATACGTGCGGAATTAGCCGAGTCAGAAAAGGTAAGAGAGTTTTTTAAGTGTTGAGATCTAAAACTACTCAGCTGCAGACACAAAAATTTCAACAGCTAAGATTTATAGTTACGATATAATAAATTGCTACATTTTAACTTATTAAGGTAAAGCAATAAAGCCTTGTTAGTTTTGAAAACTGAGTCAGATAAGTCAAATGTGCTGGTATGAAAATTAAAATCATCATATATACTGCGGAATGGTTCGTTTAGTTGGAAATTTTATCTATTCTAACTGTTATTTTGCTTACCACTATTATTTAATTAATTAATTTGTATATTTTATTTGTATTTTTTAACACACTGTACGTAATGGGTTGCCATAGGTCGCATACTTCAATCTATATATAATATCTTATTTTTGTCCTCATTCAATGCCAGCATTCCGAACATGCAAGACAATTTAATTATTCATCCCGCAACGACAATACAGATGTTTTACGGATCCATTTGCAAACAGAATGCCTAACCTCATACACAGCGGTCTGCATGCAATGACATTTATGATACCTCCTACGTATGTGTGTGGGCGTGTGTACTTTCTGTAGGATTAGGATATCTGCGTATGCTTTTCAATTTTTTCCTTGCCATGTCTGTTTGTCTGTTCAGCGCGTGTGCGGCTTTACACTGTCTGCTGTAAGCAGAAAAAAATTGCGGTACAAACATACATACAAACGTACGCATATACAGCATTCGCTCATATTTGTTTGCACACTTTTGATTTATGGCTAAAAATTCTTGCTAAACATGTCTTTGTGCGTTTTAAACTTCTGTAATGTAACTCACCAAATGAATAATGCAAGCAAAAAATAGCAGAAAAACATCATATACCTACATATTATATATACATACATATCTGTATTGTAGTCTGTGCTAAGGAGCGAAGCGGTTGGTTTTAAATAGGAAACATTTAAATAATTTAACGGAATATACTTTCTTTTCCGGTGCCCGGAAAAGTTGAACAAAAAGAAAGATTTGTACGAGAATGGTCCGAAAGGTATTTAGCATGCAGTGATGCTACAATTTCTATACCTCGTCTGAAATAGGTTTCTCATTCGACCCAAATTTCTGCCTGGCAAGTGACTTTTTCTAATTCGACCAATTTGAACGTGTCTACAGCAGAGCTGAAAGCTGATGCGTAGTCATAGTAGATAAATACTTCTATACAACTCGTCCTTCTTCTTCGTCCCCTTCTACAATTCGTCCGCGAATTGGCTCAAGAAATCGTCATGGTAGAGCTCTGTGACTCTTTTTCCCTTCCTCACAGTGAATTGGAACATTGAAAAATTCGTCTCAGCACTGATTAATAAATGGAATCTCATAGAAAGTATGGATCCTTGTGCATTAAGAAAATGATCAACGAATTACTGAAGAACCTCCCTATCTAGATATAAATTGATATTTGTTTTCATATGTCTGTGCGTTGATTTATTTTTGAAATTTAAATTAAATATTTATCTATAACTTGGTCTAGTCTTTACTGCGACAGCACGACAAATATTTGTCTCTGAAAATTGTTTTTGTTTTTTCTTCCAAACTTCTCTCAATGTGTGTTCAACGCAATGCGTATTTCAGTCTCAATATGTATGTACTTATACCTAGCATATAGTATACTAAATGAAATCCTCTTGTTACTACTAACCAAGCAGGTTTTATTTTTTCAGTTTTCGCTCTGCCATTTTCTTGCGCTGCCGACAGTTTAACAAGACTTTGTGACATATTTTGCTAAAGCTAACATTTTTATTCTTACTTTACCGTTTTTCGTCCAGTGCTACTGGTATGAGTATAAGTGCCTCTTGGCGTATGCCTTTTTTCGTTGAAAAACACTTATGACAGCTAGCTTTGTTGGTAGTGTATGTGTGTGCATGAGTGTATGATAAAGGCTAAAGGATATTAGTGCTTACAAAGGCACCGAAATCGTTAGTCTCTATGTATGTTTACATGAGTATAATACATGTGTATAAATGGAGATTTGTGTGTAGAGGCAGCTATTAGCTACAAAATGGAAAGAGAGAGAGATAGGGAGAATTTTTTTGGCTATCATGAAATTAGGTAAAAAGGATTTTATTTAAAGAGCTATTTTTACTCTGTTACTTGAAAGCTTCTTTTAGAAAAGCAATATTCAAGTATTTTTGGTATTTGAGCCTGCTTTTTCTTAAAGTCTACTACTAGTATCTTTGCTTCCATTACTGGGTTCCGACCTGTAAAGTTTTTTTCTGTTTTACAACTCTATTTTGTTTAGATGGCGTGCGTTTTTCTCAGAATTGTGTTGAGTACATGATTGACATATTCACAGAAAAGATGTGAAGATAATCGAATTAAAATTTTTACTTCAAATCCCATCATAAAGTTCGCATTAAACTCCAAGAAGCTGCTCGTTTGTTGGACCGCCGATTTCGGACTATTAAAGCAAATAGTTACCATACAAACTGATCGATCAAAATCAAGTTCTGCAATATTCCGAACTCTTTGTGACGTTGTGACAGACAATTATTTAAGCCGCTTGGATGGCATTAAATGACTAACAATATTGAGCTGTTTTCAACTTTTTGATTACAAACACTCTTTTCCTTCACACTCATCCTGCATGCTCTCTCCACTACTCCATTTTGTTAGCAAAGGCTTACCCCATCATATGTGTTACAGTGTACTAACAAAGGTTGATGGGTTTAAAACTGTCAATTTGCATATGAGCACCGAAAATTTCCCATTCAACTTTTCTATTTCTATTTGCAGTTATTTATTCAAAGTAGAATTTCAGCTTTGGCTTTACCTTTTTCGCAAATGCGACTTTTCACAATTTTATACGCATAAGATTAGAGGAAAACCATTTTACAGCAAGTCGAATTGACAAAGTGGAGTGCTCGCCTAAGCTCAGCACTCCACTGCGCCACGTTTTCATTATTATTATTGTCGCAACTAAAAACAGTTGTATGTAAAAGTACGCGTATATGTATTTGCAAGAGTCTCTCATATGTGCCGATTTAGTGTTGTGCCTTCATGCGACCATTTTGTTATCCTTTTTCCAGCGGATTGTGCCAGTTTATGCCAATGCTCAATCAAAAAGCGATTATTTTGCATATAGAGTGGTTTGAAGTGGTGGCTGCTTTATCATTATTTAGGCACAGCACATTTTAGAAAAGCTCAACACAAATTCAAATGAAGGATGATGTATTCATTTGTATGTATGTGTGAGGGACAGTTTAGTTTTTCAACTTTTGCGAAATGTTTTACATTTTTAATTGAAAAATGGCTGCTTCCGTATTTGTCACTTTATGGTGTAAATATTTAATTTTCTTCTTGAAATTTTAATTAGTTTAATTGGAGTTTTGCTACTAAATTTGTTTAGAGGCGAGGTAGTGTGAAGATTTTTATGGATACATATGGACATACTAACAAGTCTTTCCTAGGAAAAAGTGCATAATTCGTATTCATGTTATTGTTAAGGTGTGGAAAATATTCCTAAACTAATTTGGAGGAATGCGGTTGAGTTGACCATACTTTACCGGCTAAAAATCCGGGTCCGTTCCGTTTACGTATACTCGACTGTCATGGAAACGGAACTTAGACCCATCTCCTTTAATGTCTAGTCTGCTTAGAAAGAATCAGAGTACGTGCGAACGCTTAGACTCTTACTGAATAGCAAGGAGAAAAATATTTTTTTTTCCTTTTAGTGCATCGGAAAATCTCTCTTAATATAATGTTTTTGTGTTTAATATACATTTGAATAACCGATATTTATAAGAAGGAATTATACCCGGCGAAATGAAAAGGTTTAATCTTTAGTTAGAAGCTAAGCCTTCAGTTTCTATACGACCAATGTAGCTCAACATAATTGCCGGTGAAGCTATATCTCTTCCACACTCCCCAACAATTGCGTAACAAAAATTTTTAGGCTGAAATATATAAGGGATCCTTAACTTAGCCATTAATTGCTTTCAGGGTTTGCAACTTTAGTGTAATCACTATCCAAGAAAGAAAATGATGCTGAAAGATATTCAGTTCTGCAAGGCTAAAAGAGGAGTATAGCATTCCTCTTTTAGCCTTGCAGAAAAAAATAATAATAGAAAATAAAATAATTGTTTTGTGAATAATGGAGCATTTATTTAACCTGACCACAATGACGTTGGGTTTTATTGAAACGAAATTTTCATATTCCTAAAATTAATAAACAGAAAAAGAAAAATGTCAGTCTGTGTTTGAGGTTAACCTCTCATGCCTTGGAGGATGTTTTTAATACAGTAAAAAAATATTTTACTGTTCTACCTATAAATTAATATTTCACCTAGTCTTTTTACGATTCCTATTATTATCTAGGTCTAAATTTGTTCAAAATGTATTCAATAAATCAAAACACGTAATTTTCACCATATCTATTTGCAATCACCTAAGCCTACGAATCGCAAAACAAGTCCATTTCTCATACAAATATTACACCATCAACCACCAATCGGCATTAACTCAACGCAGCAAGTATAATTCTAACAATGCCTTCGTTAGTATGCATCGGAAGTATTTCCAAATCAAGTAATTTTTCAAGCAAACAGATTTTTAAAATCTGATTTGTTTGCGCAATTTTTATATTCCACTGCAGAGAGTAGAAAGTTGGTAGAGAAAGGGAGACCAAAAGTAAACAAATCAGTCACAGGCGGAAAACGAAAAGCTGAGTAAAAAGCGAATTATATGAAAAAATGGGAAAACGCTGCAAAAATATGAGCAAAATGAGAGTTTTTAGTATATGTAATTTGTAAGTTAAGCGCGTACGTCATACAAAAACGATTTGCCACCACTCTTTTGCACTGACGGATGCTTAGGCACTTAAGAGTTGTATTTACGTGAGTGCGCATACACTTACATAACTTAAGTTAGTGGTTTTATGAGTTATTGCTAAAATTTTATTATACCCTGAACAGGGTATATTAAGTTTGCCACGATGTTTGTAATACCCAAAAAGGAAACGTCAGAGAGATAAAGTATACTCGTATAAGTAAAAAATGATCAGCATAATGAGCCTATTTTGCCATGTCCGGGCATTTGTCGGAGCCTTCGATATTGGATCACTATGTATAGGATATAGCTGCCATACAAACTGAACGATCGGAATCAAATTCTTGTAAGAAACCTTTTGAATTTGTGAAGGGTATTATAGGGTTGTTGTAACCGAAGTTAACGTTTTTTCTTGCTTTTATTTTTTGTTGATAAGAGATTGCCTAAAATTTAGCACTCGATCACAGAATAAAAATATATAAGAAAACAAAATATATTGCGAACAATATTTTACGTAACGAAATATGAACTAATAATAACTTATGACAATTTTTTATAAAGTCTTATAAATCTTTCCTATTGGCAAAAACTGGGACAGTTGATTTTCACAAGCTACTCTTGAGGTGAATATTTCACCAGTAAAATCATTCGCCATAAATTGGCTCAAGATCCGAGCTATAAGATGAATGCATAAGCACCTCCCAACTAAGGTTCTGGATTTTCTGGCGAGTCGTTCTCGATGTGTGTCATCACACGTGATGTACCGCAACTCCTCTTATATTGCCCAAAGCTGGCCGCTTTTGGGCGATTGCTCCTTTAAACGGTTCAATTGTGGACAGTACCGGTCTGAATTATAACTTTGATCGTAGGAGAGCAGCTCATAGTAGATGATTCCGTACCAATCTTATCAAATACTGTTAATCCTGGCTTGACGTTGCTCTTAGTGACCCATCAGTAACCATTCGCCATAGAAATCGTTTTTGCCTTTATCGAAGAAAAACTTCTAACAAAATATAGCGTACGCCCTTATGTCATACAAAATGTACTCTGTACATACTTGCATGGAAGCCATCAATTCGAGAAATAAAATCAGATATCCTTCTCTAAAATTTTCATTACACATTGCTGAATCTTGGTTCTTAGATCATTATTTTCACATAGTTTACATTTTTTCTTTACATATTTCTTTGAAATTGTAACAAGGTTATCTAGAATATACAATATTAGAAAACATATTTTTATCAACCATGTCACAGCAATTAATCGTGTCTCTTTCACTTTATATATTTCCAGTGAATCGCCACCACAAACGCCTTTCAATTAAAGCGAACGAAGTAAAATAAATATAAATAACGGTACAATTGAAAAAGAGCGAAAGCAAAATAGATAGTAGATAACATTGATGCAAGTGTTCTTTTCAATCTCTCCGCACAGTTGACAATTAGCCGAGTTACGCTGCCGTGACATGCTGATGCGTCCAATGCGGCAATGCAACGAGGAGCGACCGTGCTAATCGGGAGTGCACAAGGTAAGGTGGATTCGAGTATCTGCCGCTACTTTAAAAGTGTAAAAGACAACAAACAAAGCAACACAGGATTGAGAGAAAATATAAAGCTAGTTGCAATGCAAATAAGCGAAGGCGAACTCAAATAAACGAGTGAAAATAAAAAGCAACAAAGAAGCAAAATAAAGAAAAAGAAAAAATATATAAATTTATTTAGAAGGCCGGGAAAGCGCTTGCTTCTTTTGCATAATATTTACAGTGACAACTACACACTACAGAAGAATTGCAGTGTCCAATCTCTGATTGCACTAAAGACAACGCTTCACGTTGCAAAACGCTCGCGCTTCGTTCAATTGGCACGATGTGGGCGCACAATATGGCGTTGATGGTGCGGGGCTTTAGTTATGAGACGCGTTGGCTGCTCTTGTTGATTGTGATGTGCGGTAAGTGATATTGTTGTTGTTGTTATTATTGCCTTTATTTTATTGTAGTATTTAAAACTATGTTTGTGCAGTTAAAGCTAAAAATGTTGCTGCAAGCCGATTTCATATAAATTTGCGGCGTTACAGGGTGTACCTGTAGTATGTTATTAATGCCTGGAAGATTAATTCTTACTAGAAATAAAATTCATTGTGAATATTGCTATAAAAGGGAGGAGTTTGTTAATTTCCTATTTTTTTTGTCACTCTGATCATTTGAGTACTTTCTTTACCACTTTCATTGAAAATCTACTTTAAAATAGCTGCGATCATAACCTTAATATACATAAAACACACACCTTTTACTGATGAAGAAAGCTTCAATAACTAGGTAGATACATAAGTAGAGTGGTTGCCTGACGACATGCCTATGCCTTTAGGAGGCTCATTGTTTAATCACCGGGACTAATATCGCCTCACATTATCATGTCTTCTCTGAACCACTCTATAGTCTTGATGAAGTTCATCATTTCGAAAATATTTATATATGCCAGTTGCGACTTGTTTTTTATATAAAAAGTCTTGCATCTTGGCAGCTTCTACAGTACTCGTTGTATGGTAATCCCAGTCTGCTGTCTTCTCATAAGACAGTGTTTAGTTCCCTTTAAAGTAATCACCCTACATTTTGAACAAACCTCGTATCTATAAAATAAATGACGATTAAATACCTACAAGTAGAGGCATATACAAGGACATATATTCCATTTTTATTGTAGTCTAATTGTAGGATGGTGCCTGTTGGCTAGTTCATCTGCTTCACAGTTACTAGGAATATTACTATGTTCTAGAACCCATTGCAAGTTTATAGGGAAACAGGATGTTAGTTACACGAATAGATCAAGACATTCTTTCACTAGGTTCTGTCATGGTTTGGCAAGCTTAAGTAGGTATGCTTTTTTCATCGTTCTTTGCACTTGATTACATTTTTTTCGGCTAAGAATTGCTATTTCGGGAATTTATCCATATCTAGATTAATGATATTTTTTCACTGGCCTCAATCAATAGCGATGATGAGTTTTGGATGTGTATTATATATCGCTTATCAGCTTGCTTATGCGCTTCTCTGAGCTTGTTGAATAAGAGAAAGAAAATAGGCCCATACCAAAGGAAGAAAATGGAAAATCAGAAGGAAAGTTTGGAAGATTTGATCGGAGCGACAGATTTTTGAATGAATGTAAAGTGATCGATGATAGTTGGTGGGAGATTATTTCAGAACACCCACAAGACATATCTACAAAATTAGAAAACTCCATAGATTCTATATTTTTATAAATTTTGTCTAAAGATCGTATGTACTATCAGTATATTCTGAGTACCGGTATGCCTTGGAATATTTGATTACGCATATATGAAGTTGAAACCTATCGGTAGTCATACCAGCTGAAATAGCCGAAATTGTTATTGCTGCCTGATAAAAATTGTGACAGTCTAAAAACGCTTTGTCGATTTATTAGGGTCATTAAGATCGATACATAGGAGTTTTAGGTACGAACCGGCAATCACAGTTATCTAAGTAAGATTTTTGTTGGCTTTTGTCAGAAGATCGACCATTTTACCTAACCTAACCAAATTATGAATATACCTATATATGTATAACTTGAAATAAAATTTTCGAAGTCGAACCCTGTACAAGAACTTAGTTTTAATAGTATCTGAAAAGTACCGTTACCTTACAGTAGTTGTTGTTTCTTTTTAAGAACAATATTCGAAATAGTGGCACTTTGTTTAATGGTAATTTTTAACCTCATTGAATTTCTTACAAGTATTTTAACCCTGGCAGTTGTCCACAGCGTACACTATTGTGTACTTGTATACAAAACGAAGGTTGGACACGACAAGGCATCTGGCAGTGCATTTTCGATTTTTATCGGAATGCGGGTGCGAAAATTGCAAATTCTTACTTCTGCGTAGCAGTTTGCCAATTTTTCGTGAGTCCAATCGAGTCGGAGTAAGACGCGTACAATGTGTGTGTGTGTGTGTGTGCGTGTACGTGCTGAGCATGCCTGGAATGTTGGCATTGTTTTGCTGAGTGTTGCATTTGCAAAATTTCGCCAACTAAATGAGCTCTCAAAGAATTGAAGCAGAGGAGAGCGGCTGGCTGCATAAATGTAATTTACTTATTAGGTTCGAAATGCCATTGCAAGGCGTTGTTGTAGTTGTGTTTATTACCTTGCTCATCTAAGTGCTGCTGCTGCATTAACTGTCACTTAATAGACATTAATTACTAAGTGCAGTTTTATGACGCTGCCTGATTTTAGCAAGGACAGTGTGTGCTGAAGTGGAGATGAAGGAAAATATTTCGTCTTTAATGAAGCGCAACTAAGGAAGTTTACACATTGCTTTTGTTAAAGCCGTTATTATATTGACACTTTCGAATTTTCTGAAACTTGCTAAAGTGAGCTGGCGAATAATTTGATTTATGTAAATAAATGTGTTGGAATATTTACTTTGTTCAACGGAACTTTATAATTTCAATTTAAACAAGAAAAAAAGTAACCGCCTGCTGCATCAAAACTGTATAACTCTTCACAGGTGTAGTTCTTATTATTGCTGAATGTGTGAAATATTACCTGAGATCAAAAATAATCTTCTCCAAATTTATCGAGCGATATAAGCACTTCATGTGTTACTCACCTACTCAATGCACACCGTTTACGCTGCTACTTGTTAGTATTTGAATTTTTCAATTAAAAATTTTATCAAGGCTATCATTAAAAATGCAGTTATTCAAATTCTCTGTTGATTTATGCAGTGAAAGCTGCTACATTTTTATAGAAGCAAAATAAGTTTTTTTGTGTATTTCTGCTGGCAACGCCGCTATTATCAACTCGATTGCAAGTTGACTCTTAATTGGCTAAATGTTAAAAATTCAAATAGCTTTATGCAAATAAAAACTACAATATGCACAAATAATAATAAATATTCATTTTGAACCAATAAACTAATACTCTAGGGATGAAAAATAGCAAAAGTTTTATTTATTTAAATAAATTCTTTTTATGAACATTTTTTTATTAACATATACTTGTACAAACTCAAAGTGAAAGTAAACTTATTTGTATGTGTGTGTGTATAAATAACGCAACACCAAACTAGTTTACCGCTTCCCTTCGCGCTTTGTGTTCAAAAATATCACTTTTTCATATTTGACCTAAAATCCAATCAGACTGAGTGCAAATTAAGAAAAAGAAAAAAACACAAAATGAAAAGTAAAAAAGTGGAAAGGAAAATCAAAAAAATTTAGTGTGGCATTTGAAAAAGTTTTTATTTCCGCAAAATTATTTAAAAATGCACCAAATGCTGAAGCGTTTGCCAAATTGTTGCATTGCGTGCATGCTTTGTGTATTTGTGTGTATGTGGCAGTCTGTTCATCTGACACTGCTGCATGGTGCTTGACACACATGTAAATACACGTTTGCAAATCTGTGCGAACAAAAAGCTAAAGTGCATGGCTAAAAGTGACGAAAACCACAACAAAAACAAAGCAACAAAAAAATAAAATAAATTTGAAGAGAAAGGCGGCAAAAATGGTGTTGAAAGCAATAATGCATTGAAAGCAGCTTAGCTTTGAACTGCTGAATTGTGAAAAACAAAACATTTTATGCAAAGCAACAGTAGTTTTGTAAAAAGTTTTTATGCATTAGGATGGTTGCAATTAATTTTGAACAAAAATTTTATTCATAACTTCGATAATAAATTACTCTGGTTTCTCAGAGATGATAAGTACATTGAATATAAATATAAACTAATGCTTACATTAAAAATATTTTTATTTGTTTGACAGATTTCTCGAAGAACATTAATATGGCTTCAATACTGCAGTTTTGAATTTATTTTCGTAATATGTTTTTGTAATATAAACATGTGGCTACGTTTCTAAAAATATTGGTCAACTGAAGTATCGCATAACCATGCTTAATTAGATGTTCACAATAAAATATTTATTTATTAAATTTAATACAAAATCGCAAATAGATGATAACCCTTTTAAAAAAATTTGTCAATGGAAATATTTCTTAACTAAATTTAATTAGATGTTCACAAAAAAATATTGCATATATTTTATTTATTTTATTTAATTCAAAACTGTAAACAGGTGGCAAGCGTTGTCCAAAATATTATCATCTGAGCGCCGTTTTAAGTTTGAGTTGAGTCAAATTGTAATAACTCACATTTTTTCATTAATTTTATTGAATTAAAAATTTCAAACTGGCGGCAACCTTCGAAAATATTTTTAGTTGTAAGCTGTTTTAAAAGTCTTTAGTTTGATAACCGTTTTGCAATAATTTTTTTTAATAAAGTTTTTTCTCTCAAATTTTCAAAAAATATTTTCACATATAACCTTTCTGAAACTTGTTTTGTTCATAATATGCCTTTGTTTTTGTAATTTTCGTTTGTTAGCCACAATTTTTGTCAACCCTTCTCCAAAAATATTTTTAAATGTAGATTTTCCTAAACTTCTTCTGCTTGAATTACACCTGAATTTTTATAATTTTTTCTTTTACTAAAATTTTAAAGCAGCTGGCAACCCTTGCCAAAATATATTTTCAAGTGTACACTTTCTTAAATTTCTTCGGTTTGCGTGTAACTTAAGTTACTAATTTTTTCTTGTTGTAATTTTTTTTAAATAGGCGGCAACCTTGTATATTTCTTGCTAAAAGTCATCTGCTTTTTAGTAGCAAATATTTTATTCGGTATCATGACGGTACATACTATGGGAAATGAAACTTATTTCTAAATCTTTTGCTTTTAAATCCCGTTCAATTGTCGCACCCTAGTAAATGTTTTATTACAAACTTCTACCTAAATATACTAGAAAATTTGTTAACGCTTTTATTTTTAAATATATTTGCAAAAATATGTTTAGTAATCCAAAATATAGAATTTCATATATTTTCTACGGAAGCAATTGAGTTTTTTGCGGTCATTCCTTAATTAAAATGGTTTTAAATATTTTTGAATCATGTTACATTCATCTACGAAATATGGCAGGGTAAGTTCATGGATGGTCGGAAGAAAATTCACAAAAAAAATTTAAAAAAAAATCACAAAAAATTAAAAAAAAAATATAATTAAAAAAAAATTTACTAAATTCAAAAACATTCAAAAACATGGTTTCAACAAATTTTATTTGAAGGGTGAACTTGAGTTCAATACTGAAATAAAATCCTTTGTCATACTTGTATTAATCCACTACAAAAGAGAGCTGTTTCAACTCATCGAATCAGCTTTCAATATCACTTTGTAATAACGGTATTATAATCCTAAATTGAAAAGTATTTTCATTGCATTGAACATTCTCCTCTTTTATTTTGCTTTAGAACCAGTTCGATGCGATTCAGTTAAATACTGTTTGCTGCTAATCTGAAAGCCCACTCATAAACGTATATATGATATCATATTGTATTTTACATATACATATGTATGTATTATATATATATATATATATATATTCATATATACGTTTCACCGAAAATGTTACCACATACACAGAGCTTTTCAAAACTTTCGTAAGTTATGTGCCAATTTTCCTTTTGTTTTATGAGAATTTCATTTTAGTTGTTTCAATTGTTTTTGGTCTCTCCTTGCCACTGTACTTTGGTATGCAACGGTATAATGAGTTTGAAACTTTATTGACTATTCGCATGTGTGCCACATATACAAATGCAAGCATGTGCATATATACATATGTATATTGGAGTATATGTATGTATATGTGCATTTGTGAAAGTTTTGACATGCGACTTTAATTCTATTAATTTAGTATGTCCACTCGAAATAGCTGTTAAAACTGACCAAATCGCTAAGCAAGCTAAGTTAGGAAATGCATAACCAGACGCATCGGACTTTAAACACAAAAAGCAAAAACGTGTGATATGAGTAGTATTTTCGCTTTATTCTTTTGAAACATTTGTGGTATTGTGGTTTTTCACTATCATTTTGTATATATGTATGGCATACGACTCGGTCTTATGAAAACCCTACTACTGTTCGAATTTTGAATCACTTGTTTCTCGGGTATTGTTGCCCATATCTTAACAATAGCGAACTGATTGATTATTTTCATTTGCCAGTCCAAGTTTGGTTTATTAGAATGGACTGTAAAAAGTAGTCTAATTGGGTAAAACTGTGTAATCTAAGTGGTCAATTGGAAACTTCTTACAGTATACATAAGTCTCTCCATAGAAATGTCGGTCATAGGATATATAAATGTATAAACTAGTAAATGTAAAAAATAATATTTAGCTAATTTGTATGTTTACAGATAGATTTCAAGTTCTACCATTTTGAAATCTTTTCCCAGTATAAATCCTTGCGTGATAATTTTTGGAAAAGAACAAAAAAAAAAATAAACTTGCCAAACATGTATTTACTTCGACAGCTGATTTGACAACTATCGCATTGGGAAAATCCAAACCATTATGGGAAAAAATTCACTATACAAGTATATCTAATACATATATGTAGGTTGAATATTTTATTGCATTATAGTATAACTGTGAGTGGATTGGACATTTTAATTATTGTGTTTTACTTTGACAGCTATCACTCTAAGAAATTCCACATCTTTCTAAAAAAAAAAAAATTCTCTATATATACAAATATGAGTTATTTCAGTGTTCGATTGATATATATAGTAGTAGAACTAGTAAGAATTGTAGTAATTCTTATTATTGGCTTAGAAGAGTACAAATTCAGATCAGGTTCTAATTGCTGCCCATCTGAAAATGAAGAAATTAAATTATATGATATACCATTATTAAATTTCTCTAAAAAATTTCAATCTCATACTTTCATGCTTACACTCGTACAAAACTGTAGTTCAATACTTATCTCCTGCTCTATTGTATCTATATTTGACGCTGCAAAAAGCTACTGTGGTACCTAAAATAGCAGTAAGTTCTTTAACTCATCGGTGAAGGTTAAATATCTACTACCTGTCATCCCAAGTCACTACTCCCACTGACAATTCCATGGCACTTAAGTATGTCTTTCAATTCTTGGTAATTGGCAAGAAAAATTTATCGCAGCACTTAAATCATACTAGACATTTTTGAAATAAAAACTGAGCTCTCTAAACTCGTATTTATGTAACCACTGAAAGTGCGCATGTGAAGGTTGGCGCAGTTGTGGAATTCCAACTGTCTGTATATGAGCTGTGAGTATATTGGCTAATGCTTCAATTTTATTTTCAATTTCCAAGCACTTAACCACCAGTTTGTATTAAAAACTTAATATATATATGAGTATAGGAATTTATGTACATAAGCACTCAAGTTTTTGATACCCAGTAGGAAATTTTTCAAGCAGTAAGAGAGTGTTATATAAAAGTTGTAGTTAGTTGTTGTAGAAGAGATAACATCTGAACCGAAGTGCTTTGCATTTTCTTGTGCCATGTGCCATCAGAAAGTAGTTTGCTCTAGTAACTGATATCTGACAGATCTGATATGTAAACCATTCTGTTCCATTTCGTCGTTGTACCCTCGTGGCCGCGCTGAAGTTTTCTTCTTGTAAATATAATATTTAGGATTTTTTTATTACCAGGAGTAATTTTCTTCTTCTCTATTCCCGTAGTTGTAGTTTACTTTTTACAGCAATTTCCCCACAATACGTTATATGCTTTTTTATTTCTCAAATAAATTCCTTTGAATAGCTGCGTGTGTAAAAAAATACGAGCGAGTAAAATTCTTTGCGAACATACATACGAGCGTAAATGATATATGCGTGAATAAAATACGAGTATACGAGCGCAAATAAATAAACTCAATATTGAGTAGTGGTAAATGAGTCACAGGCATTGCGAGTTTTGAAAGCTGGCAGCTGTGGAATTTGTAAGCGTTTGAGTATTTTGTGAATTCGCAGAGTATGCGTGCCGTTTAATGGGGCGCTCTTAAGGGTATTCACATCAATTTCACCTGTGCGCCGGTGTAATCCATATATGTAAATAAATATTTGACGGCACTTTTGTAGTTATTTTCTTTGAGCTGGATAGAGCTTAAATCTTAGAAAACAAAACATAAAAAAATTGATTAATATTTATAACAAAATATACGCATATATTTTTGATTTTATTTAGTATAAGTGAATCTTTGCTATATTGTCATTTCTTTTTAGGAATCGGAAGGCAAATACTTATAACTTCAAAGCTCAAAGCAGATTAATTGTATTGATATATCAAGAGTATCTGAGCTTTTTTTATTATTATGGCGCCTTGTAATTTTTGATTTCCCATTTAAAAAATTTGGGAATATCTTCTTATTTTGTTACAATGTTTATTGAACGAATTATTGTGCAGTGGTAATGAAAACTTATTTTTGCGGAAAGTTTAACGATCTACACAATATATTCGACATGATTTTTGGCTAAGTCGACTTGTTCAAAGGTTATTCGAGATTAAATCGAACCTTAAATAGTAAGAGATAATTCTTAATTTTTTTTTCACAAGATAATACCTCAAAATTATAAAGAAAGTGGAATAATATGGAAAACTTGTCAGGTTAACGAAAGGAATTCATATAAAAGATAATTTCTCCAATTGAACGAAGTTTTTAATTTTCACAGACAGACAGACGGACATGGCTAAATCGACCATTTATATTTTAGAGGGTCTCCGTAGTTTCCTTCTGGTTGTTAAAAACTTCTCGGCAAACTTAATACTGTAGGGTATAAATATAGATGTCTTCTTGATATATCGAATCATTAACACTATTGCCCACAAGAGAATTACGAAATTGACACTAAGATCTTATAATCTTCAACTCACTGTTCATTCGAAATTGAGCATTTAAATGCGACAATTGGATGTTCTGTAACCTATTACTATCATCTATAAACAACTACTACTTAATTGAGACAACTGTTTGCGCATTTATCATACGCAGTGTATTCCCAAATGACAGATAAAAACAATCGATTGCCGTCCAATTAAGTATTTACCAGCAATTCGGCAATCAGCATTTGAGTACTTGCGCCACTCAGAAAGTTTTACACTACTTCCAAACACACCCACACACATTTATTCATACATATGTACATCTATTTGTATAGACTACGGGACATTGCGAAAGACAAGAGTCATTTGCGATTACCACTCGCCAAGTATATTTCAATAGTTGAGCGCACTGGCCATCAGCTGGTGCAAAACGAACATGGACAGGCGTTAACTGCTTACGCAGCAATCATTATCGGCTTTTACCTTTTTGTGTTAATCATTAGTGCAAGCATTGTCACTGCCATTGTCATCACTTATACGCCATGGTGTGCTGGTGCTGTCAGCAAAAATTCGCAGCGCCAAAGAAAAGCGTATCGAACAAAATAAAATGAAATAAATAAGGCAATAAATAAAATAACATACCAAAGTAGTAAAAAGCAATGTTAACTCAAGAGTATAAAAGTGCGCACACACACACATACCTGCGTAGCTACATATGCGTGCTAGAGTGTGTGTGAGTGCCCATTTTCGTTATCGTTGGCGTAATTTGTAGGCAACCATTGCTTACATGTAGGTATATATACAGCACCATTAAAGTATATTTATGCGCATGTTGTGCTGTATACACAGGCACATACATACATACATGTATACATATGTATGTATTGAAATAAAAGTGATTGCCGATACCGAATTTGTCGTTTTCTTTTGTTTATGCCATCGTTTAGCCTTAAATTGAGCATGCTTGTATATATATGTGTCAACGTGTGTATGTATGTGTTTGCCTCTCTGCATGTATATTGGTATGTTATATTGGTTGTAAGCTGCTGTCATCTTATTGTACAAAGGTAGAAATGACCAATGCCTGTTTCCCCTCTTTCGTAGGCGACTTACTGTGGGCTGTTCCACTATGAGGTTAAAGTTTTCAGCTCGTATACTTGAAAAAGGAAAATATATTGAGTATTGCTGATTGAATGTCGCACAATGAAAGGTATCATTTTATTTTACATGAAAAAAAATGTCACAGAAAAATACATTTTTTGTGGGCATTTGGTTTAATGAATACAATTTATTTTTAAAATTTAGCGAAATTTAGCACAAAAAACATTGGATGTAAGAAAATTATAAAACAAAATAAAACAAAATAAAATTAATTAAAATAAAATAAAATGAAATAAAAAAATATATAAAACAAAAATAAGAAAAACAAAATTAAAAAAAAAAATAAAGTAAAATAAAATAAAATAAATTTAAAAGAGCAAAATTTAATATTTCTATAGGTGTCCACATTATTACAAAATATTTTAATTTCAAATTTCGTCGATAAATTTCCGATTGGCATTTCTAAACTACTTGTACATATGTTATTTGGCACAAATTTTTATTAGTTTACGCCTTTTTATTAGGTGGCAACTTTATTACCAAACTGGGGACTTTTCAAAAATTTCGGTTAAAGGTTTCTTAAACACCTTATTTTTGGCACACATTTTACAATATTTTTGATGTTACTATTCGCTGTAGGTGGTAACTCTATTCCAAAAAAAATATTCATTTAAGTTTTGTTGAATATTTTTCGTTTCTTATTTATATAGCATTGGATCTATATCATTTTAACCGATCAAGTTTCCAAATATAGGCTGTACTCTAAGCTGTCCGTTTATATATTCGCGTACCACTTAGCTTCTGGCTGCCATACAAACTGAATGATCAAAATCATGCCCTTGTTTGGAAGACTTTTTCATTTGACTAGATATCTTCACAAAATGTAGCATAGATTATTATGCAAAATAGCTCTACAACAATAGCTTTGATGCAGCCGTTCTTGTTTTAAATGAAAACTAAATATTTTGTTTACAAAAAATTCCCCTCAAATCTTTCGCTCTACTTAAGTAATAATCAACTAGTCATGTGTTGAAAGCTCTATGCCAGCTTGACCACTTGTATTTTAACGCAAGCGCTTCACGCTTTATTAAATGAGGCACTTAAGGTTGCCTGGCAACTGGCCCACTTAATATTGTATGAGTGTAACGCAAGCTGCGTAAACTTCCCAATCTGGATACCATTGTGGCACACCGTCGTTAAGCGTACTATTTATGTATACGAGTATACATTTTTTATTTAAAAAAATTGTTTTTTTGTTGTTTACCCAAAGATTTCTGCCAGTGCACGTTTGCTGGCGCTCATTTAATGCCCGTGTGTTGCCATTACTTGTCCACCCCCAACTCTCTATATTCGATTTGCTATTTTTTACGCTTGACTTCAGCAACATCAGCAGCGGCAGCTCGAGTCAGCGCCCATAATCGTCCAGAAATCAAGTAATAAAAAATTAGTGCTTTCCTTTTTTCTAGTTGCCACAGCATACTGTGGCGTTGCAAGTAGTGGCATGGAGCCATGTTGCGTTCTGCTTTACGCTGTTGTTGTTGTGCTTGTAGCTGTTACTCCTGCTTGTTTCGCTTATCGCTTGCACGCCCCATTTTGTCCGCCCCATTTCGATTTGGCTTCCGCAATACGTAAAACCTTACATACATACATTCACATATATATTGTACATCCAAACATGTATTCACATTTATACGATTATTTATATACACGTTTCTGTTATTTCAGCTAAAGTAAGAAAGTTTCGCTTTATTAATTTTTATTTATACGAGTGCGATTTCTTGTTTTTTCTTTGTTTGTGCCGCTTTTATGGCAATATATTTTTTACTTTATTTCCTGCGCTATTTAATATTTTCGTTGTTGTTATTGTTATTATTTAATTTGTGTTCCTTCATGATATTTGATGATATTTCTGCCATCTTTGCACTTTGATTTCACCCATACACACTTACACATGCCCATATCGAAAAGTTACGATTGCCGCAATACATACTCAGATATACAACATATAGGTAAGTGGATAAATAAATGACTTTCCTCTCAGTTTTATCCCTCTCAGTTCAGATCTTGTTGGCTATGTGTTTATTTTATGAGTGAACTGCTATTTAGCGTTTTATAATTTTTGAAAAAAAGTTCATAGATATTGCCACAAACTACGTCCACGAATCATATTCCTTTGACAGCTATGTTCGAAGAAAGGTTATTTTATTTTTGAGAGTAATTTTGTTTCTTCTTGCAAAGCTTTTTTGAGATTGTAGATGTTTCTGATTTTTTATTGGAATCGTGAGACCACACTTGGAAAATTATAGACAAGTCTTTTGGTTGCCAAAAGTACCAT